CTTCGTGTACGCCACAACCGACGGCGTCGTCCTCTGCCCCTCGGCGTTGGTCACGATGACAGGCTTCCCACCTTCCATCGCACCAACAGCAGAGTTGGTAGTTCCGAGATCGATTCCCACAACTTTCTCAGCGACGACTCTAAGAGGACCATTGCTACGATTTCTTCTACTCTTGTTAAGTTTCGCAAATGATATTTGCTGTGAAAAGGAGACAGAATTCCTTAAACCTTGGCCGAATAAGACTGTTTTGGGGAACTTGATAGTAGAAGCAAAAGGTTTGCCTCCAAGAGGGTGAATCTGAGCTGTTGTTGACGCCATATGTTGCTGCTCAGGTTGAGAAGTGAAATCCTGAGCCGCTTAAACCCTAGAAAATTTGGGCAAGACGAAGGAGTAAATGGGAAAGGAAATTGAGAAGAAGATAATGTAAGGACAGAGGGTTGGGTCTTGGGTGGGTCGGAGGTCCTGTTAACAAAGCTTAAACCAACATGATAAGAAATGTAAAGCATAGGGTAGATATTAAACTTTTTGGCATAATTTAAAAATAGAGGGGCTTTTATGATACTCTCAATATTCAAGGGGCGATTTTGAATTCGACATTGTTGAGGGTGTTTCGACTTGGACTTGTGGAAGTGGCGATTTTGAATTTGACATTGTTGAGGGTGTTTCGGGACTTATGGAAACGACAATGTTTACCAAAACTTTTGAGTTTTTGGCCATAGGCAAAGTTTTTGGTCATAGGCTTTGTTAAGGTGATTTTTTCGGTTTAACAAAACTCAAAAACTAAACTTTTGGTGATTTGGATTGAGTTATAAAACTCAAAAGGGAATATTACTTATGAAGGTAATTAACTTTTCGGTATGTTTACATCTGGGTAATTATCTTTTTTTTTTACACATTTGAGTAACAAACTTGTTGGAAGTGTTCACATATAACAATTATGACCTGTTATAACATGTTAAATCATAGATGTAAACGCTTTCAACAAGTTCGTTACCTAGATGTGTAAAAAAAATAGTTAACCAAATATGAACAAAACGAAAAGTAAAAATTAAATTACACGAATAGTCCCTGTAGTTTGGGGGAATTTGTATTTTTGGTCCCTAACTTATTTTTTTAACTTGGATGGTCCCTACTATTTATTTTTGTTGCGCGTTTGGTCCCTGACTTACCTAAAAAGACTATTGTGCCCTTATTAATTTATTTTTTAATTAATTTTCTTATTTATTTATTTATTTTTTACATATTTAAAAAAAATTAATAGACCACACATATTTGTATCTCCTCGGATGATCCCTACTATTTATTTTTTAATTAATTTATTTTTTTTAACTCGGATGGTCCCTACTGTTTAATTTTGTTACGAGCTTGGTCTATGTCTTACCTAAAAAGACTATTGTGCCCTTATTAATTTATTTTTTTAAATAATTTTCTTGTTTATGTACTTATACTTTATGTATTTAAGAAAAAATAGTAGATCCCGCATATATGTATCTCCTCACCATCCCGTCTCTCATCCTTCTCAGCTTCTATTTATTTTCCATTTTTATTGATATCGACGTCTTCATCGTCACTTCTTTTTTCGGTCCTTTAACTCTGTCGAATCAATACCACAACCCACTAATGATGAAGAGACTGTAGGTTATGGTGTTGGTTCGCTAGAGTTGAAGTACCAAAAAAAGAAGGATGGTGAAGACGTCGATGTTACTAAAGATGGAAAAGAAATAGAAGTTTGGGAGGATAAGAGATGAGAAGGTGACCGGTAAGACCCAAATTAAAATTTTCAAATGTGGTTTCAGGATTACGGTGAAGAGATACAGATATGTGGGGTATATTAATTTTTTTAAATATATAAATAAGAAAATTAATTAAAAACAATTAATAAGGGCAAAATAATCTTTTTAGGTAAGACATGAACCAAACGCGTAACAAAAATAAACAGTAGAGCCCTTCCGAGTTAAAAAAATAAATTAATTAAAAAATAAACAGTAGGGTGGTCTATTAATTTTTTTAAATATACAAAAAATAAATAGATAAATAAGAAAATTAATTAAAAAATAAATTAATAAGGCACAATAGTCTCATTAGGTAAGACATGAACCAAACGCGCAACAAAAATAAGCAATAAGGACCATCCAAGTTTAAAAAAAAATAAGTTATGGACCAAAAACACAAATTACTCTAAACCATAGAGACCATTCGTGTAATTTATTTTTTACTTTTCGTTTTGTTCATATTTAGGTAACTATTTTTTTTTTTGTACACATCTAGGTAACGAACTTGTTGAAAACGTTTACATCTAGGATTTAACCTGCTATAGCAGGTCATAATGGTTATATGTAAACATTTCCAACAAGTTTGTTACCTAAATGTGTACAAAAAAAAGATAGTTACCCAGATGTGAACATACCGAAAAGTTAATTACCTTCATAAGTCATATTCCCAACTCAAAATTAAACTCAAAATTGTAATATATTTTGTATGTCAAAATTAAATTCAAAAGGGATTTGAGCTTATTGATATAAAATTCAAAAAACATCTTCTAGGATTTTCATGAAATTCAAAAAACATCTTCTAGGATTTTCATGAAACTAAAAGGGACTTGAGCTAAACTGATACAAGTTATTAGATACGATACACACAATGGAAATGACAATGTTGACCAAAACTTTGACTAGGATTTGAACGTATAATTGTAACATATTTTAATATTTTGTATGTGAATAAGATCGAATTATTTTGACCATAGGCTTTGTTAAGGTGATTTTTTCAGTGCGGTCTAACAAAACTCAAAAACTAAACTTATGGTGATTTGGATCGGGTTATAAAACTCAAAATTGTAATATATTTTGTATGTCAAAATTAAATTCAAAAGGGACTTGAGCTTATCGACATAAAATTCAAAAAACACCTTCTAGGATTTTCATGAGATCAAAAGGGACTTGAGCTAAACTGGTACAAGTTATCAGGTGCGAAACACACAATCACATAAGCTAGCTACTTTGATTTGGGTCACAACTACTAGCGGTGGTCAAGGGGTAACGGAGAGGTTGTAAAGCACACTGGGGAAGTGGATGACATGATAGTGCATGTGTAGTGATACAAATGGGGTTGTGTATAAATATACATTTTTTGTTGGTGCGCTTTTGGTGCCAAAAACCTATTTTAAGTACCATTAAACTATCTCCATCAGCAACCCAGCCCAATCCAACTTTTTAATAAAAAACTATTTTCTCTCTTTTCCACTTATACAACCCAACTCAATCCAATTTTTTACACCCATTAGCAACCCAACCCAAACACATTTTTCCTTAAAAAATATGATTTATTTTACTAAAAACTACTAGAAATATTAAAATTAAATATTTTATTTTGAAACAACTAAATTATTTATTTCAAGCATGAAATTATTAAAAATTATTTTACATTCCTGAAAAATACTTAATAAAATAGATAAAATAAATTACAAATACGGAAGATGCAAACTATATAATTATTCCTCAGTGTTGAATTTTTTCCATATATGCTCAATCAAATCGTCTTTTAGAGCGTTATGATCATCTCTATTGCGAACTTGTACCCTATTGGTCATATAACTGGATAGATCTGCAATTCATTGAGTAGAGTATTCAAATGATTGTTCGTCTTCTGCTGTTATAAATTCGGATGGATCATAATAATGAAGGTATGTGTATCGTTCATCCTCAACTATCATATTATGAATAATGATATATGCAATCATAATTTTACCCATCATATCTTTGTCCCACACAAGACAAGGGCGATGAAAAAAAATACAAAACGAGCTTGTAAAACTCCAAATGTTCGTTCAACATCTTTTCTAGCAGCCTCTTGATGTTCAGCGAATTACTTGTGTTTTTGAAGTTGTGGAGAACTTATTGACTTGACAAAGGCAGCCCATGAAGGATATATGCCATCAGTGAGATAATAAGCCATATGATTTTCTCGATCGACCTGCCAAGACATCATGAAAAAGAGGAAATCTTTGGAGGACGTTAATATCATTGCATGAACCCGATGTTCCGAAGAATGCATGTCATATCCATAAGTCATACGATGCAACAGCTTCCAAAATTATTGTTGTCTTACCGCTTCTACCTACATATTGTCCAGCCCAAGCTGTCGGACATTTTTTCCATTCCAAGTGCATGCAGTCAATACTGCCTACCATACCTGGAAATCCATGTTCTTCTCCAACATGGAGCAGTCATGCCAAATCATCTTGATTGGGGCGTCTAAGGTACTCTTCACGAAATCATGAAATAACACCTTCCACAAACTTTACAAGAGCATCCCTTGTTATAGTCTCACTCATTCTCAAATATTCATCATGTGCATCTACTGATGTCCCATATGCCAACACCCGCATAGCTCCGGTACATTTTTGTAATGGTGAAAGACCTTGTTTGCCTGTGGCATCACGTCTTTGTTGAAAATATCAGTCATTGGCTATAACAGCTTCCACTATACGGAAAAATAGTGGTTTTCCCATTCGAAATCTACCTCGAATTTTTTCTTCACCATACGTTGGGTTGTCAACAAAGTAGTCTTTCATCAAACGTGTCTTACCCTGCTCACGTTCCCAATCACAATACCTCCTTCTTGCTCTTGGGTGATCTCTTATGCTCATAATTGGTATGCTTATGAGTAACTCACTCATGATAACATCAAGTTGTCGATTTTGTTTAACAACTCATGCTTCCCATTCATCATATTCATTCACATTTGATGAACCGGAACCATCTGATGAGTTTGCATTATGAGACATTTTTCAAATACATTAGAAATGAAGAGTGAAATGAAGAGTTAAAGGTGGATATGAAAGTATGTAGTGGTGTCTCTGAAAGATGATAAACAACCCTACATTTAATAAAGATGATAATGACAACTCTGCATTCAGTAAAATAGCTTACAAATACATAATAAAATAGCTTACAAATACATTAAAGCACACTGAAAATAAAACATACACTAAACTGTAATCAGTTTCCATAAAACTTAGACATTAGAAAAAGTTTTATGTTTTCTTCTTCAGGCGACAATTGCTTATTCTGTAGGAGTGTGTTCAAATGCAAATTATGCATCTTTATTAGCTTCCCTTCATCCATTTTTTGCTCCCTTTGTTGATCCAAGTCAATTCTTTTTTTCATTACTTCTACTTCACTATCTCTACTAAGCCCCATCGCACGAAGTTCTGCAACAACTTCATTAGAAGACTTACATTTTTCTTTTCTTTTAGCTGCATCTTTACCTGTTGGACGGTTAATTGTTAAACCACCAATACTTGCCCCTTCTGTGTTGGATTGGACACAATAGTATCCTTCTTCAGTTGACCTTGATCTTTTTGTGCTACCACCACTTTCTTCATCATCCACTTTATATTCAGGACGTTATCGTGTTGCATCATGACCTAGTTATAGATCCCATTTTCGATGCTTACACATAACCTCATTAAAAACAATCGTGTCATTGAACTTGCTTCCAGGTGTCTCATATAACTTATGAGCTTCATTCTCAACATCTTTCATACTCATTCCACTTATTCTTTTTCTATATGCTTCTTAATAAACACCAACCCATTTTCCAGCACTTTCATTAAGTTGTTTATAACGACCTTTCATTTGAGCTATGTTCATATTACCAAGCTTTCCTGGGTTTTCTGCTTGATTTACATCATATAGCTCCTTCACTTGTGCCCATATTGATGTTTTCTTTTGGTTTTTTCCACGACGCTTATCTTCACTAACGATGCAATATGCTGACATTAAAGCGATATCTTCATCAGCATCTCATTTATCGCCTCTTGGGTTTTTTCCGATATTTTGTGAGGTTTGAATATTTTCAGCGATAGGGAATTGATTCAAATTTAGGAAAAATTGAGAGCTTTCATAATCTTGAAAGTTTTAATAATCTTGATAATCGTCAAGATTTAAAACGAAATTTGGATCCATGGTATCAAAGAAATAAAAAGGTTTAGAAAGGAAGAGTTAAGATGAGATATGAACTATATCAATATTATACTCTATTTATAGAGAATAAAAACCATGAATTTTAATATTTTAAAAAAAAAAGTTTACTAAAATAATATTGGATTTTTAAATATAATAACTCTTACCTAAAAATCTAAAAAATATATATACAGTTCCCCTTTCAATTTATAACATGTGGCAAGATAAGATGTGGTGAACTTTTGTGAACTTTGGGTCGTCCATGTGGCCTAGGCCACAGATATTAATTTATTTTTTTTAAATTAAAATGGGTGATCCGCCCGTCCATGTGTGCCGATTGGGGTAGTCTTAATCACAAGTCATCCATATGCCAAAAACCTTTTTAGATTTGTGTCATTTTGTTATATCAAAATTGCGTTTCGGACCATGGTTGGTTGGGTTTGATCTGAACTTACCCTTACCCTTCTCTACTTAAAAGACTTTCTCTTCGGTTTTTAATGAGAGATCACCCATCTCCTTTGCTAAAGCTTCGTGCTCTAACTACAAGTTTTCAAATTCAATAAGTGATGGTTAGGTAGATCATCCTTGTATTGAAGCCACAAAACTTCTAAATTCATGTTTTAAACCATGAATGATGATTCCTTTCATCATTGGTTCGCTGATATGTATATATATATGAGGATCAAAACCAGAGATATCTCTACATATGGACTTTACTTTGTGAAAGTATTTGGGAATAGACATGTCATATTTAAGCACTAAGGTGCTGTTTGTTTTTTCGAAGCGAAAATTAATGAAGTCTGCAGATCACCTCTGCAATCCTCTGTAGCAGAAGAGGTGGAACAAACGGCTGCAACCTATAATAATAAGAAGCATGTTTGTTTTTTAACATCTACAGACTGCTGCAGTAAACTAAAATTTAAATAAACTAATTTTATAAATTGAAAATAGTTCTCAACACTTAAACTTAATAATTCTAGTCTTAAAACATTGAAATAATAATAACAAGAACATGTATATATATATATATATATATATATATATATATATATATATATATATATATATATATATATATATATATATAACTTAAAAAAAAAAAAAAAAAAAAAAAAAAAAAACCTTAAAAAAATATAAAAGAAGCTAATAGTTTTATTCTAGAAAAAAAACTAATTTTAAAAAACATTAAAAAGAAAAATAATAAAAAAATTAAGAAAATATTGCAAACGTTGTCTACAAAGTTCGTAAAAAATTACACACGTTAAAAAAAGATGTAACTGAAACTGAAAATATTATTAATAAAACAGTAAAAATAATTAAAAAAATCAAGTTAAAAAAAATCATGGAAATTATAAAAACAAAATGTATCACATCCGTAAATAAAAATTTAAGAAAATCAAAGTTTAAAAAAAAAAATTAAAAAAAAAAAGTTATACAAAAATTCTTAAAAAAACACTTAGAAAAAATGAAAGCTGAAGAGGTTAGAAGAGGTAAGTCAAGTGCTGCGCCACGCAGCACATACGCAAAGGTTTTATAGTCTGAAGTCTTCCAAAAAATAAACTACTGCGAGAGGGAGAGGGAAAGTGTTGCGTGTGTGCTGCGCCGCGCAGCAATAAGTGGTTTGAAGATGTTTTTATAGAAAAACAAACAACACCTAAGAGAAATTTGATTTCAAGGAGTTGAAGTTTTGTGTGAAGAGAAACAACGCATATAGAGTATCACATGCTTCTTAGGAGTCATCACATCTCTAATATGTTCTAATACATCTTATCCAAGGGTTGTCTTCAAAATAAAGATAGCCTTTAACCGCCTTGATCTTCCACATTAATAGAACTCCATTGTCGTAACAGTTAGACAACTCACAACTTGCACAAATATTGTCCCTGCATATATGAGATAATGCAAGTCGATCAAGAGTTGTAGTTTTGGTTATTAAGTTTCTTGACACCACATACTACTTGAAAACTCAGCCATTGATGAAGCCTCTAATACCGGTTTGTTAACTTGATGATCGGAACTTTCCTTGTACACAACAAAGAACTACAATGCAAGGAATTAAAGAAGGAAAAAACATATTACACACAAGTTGTATGTGCTATCATATTCAACGTGCAACTAAAGGGTGCCATATATAAAGGTAAAGACATGCATGCATGAGCTTGAACATTGAGAGGCGTTGCAAGTCAATATGAGGAAATAAATCAATAGTCCCCCAAACAAAAAAGGAAGAATTGAACCTGAGATTTCACCTAAAGATTCTCACCTACTTACTGCTAGGGCATAGGGACAATATACTAGGATGAATACGACACCAAAATGGAAGGAAATCAATTAACAAATACAACAAACCACAAAAATATATATTACGATTTAAAAACTTTAGGCTCACTTTCTATACCCAACTCAGCCTCATATCATAACAACAAGCTCATACGTAACAATAACATACAAGTAATAAGAAGCATATTGGTGCAGACACAAAATAGCCCAAATTCACTGAATGTTTAAAGCCATGAACAAGTTCTGTTTCCGAGCATGCTCTGGGATAAGCCTGTGAACAGTCTCTCTTGGAATTCCAGCAAGCTCTGTAACACAAAAACACAAAAATCATATATCTGAATTTAAAACATTTTCTTTTTTGGAAGCTTTACAATTTAAATACCAATGTTCCATAAAAAGATGATGCAACATTTGCTTCTTTAGACAGATTTCAAATGTTTGAAGTTACTCATTTGCCATTATTATCATTATTTATTAACTCATTTGTGTCTACAAGATTCTTTAATAGAAAGAATAATACCAATTTAAATTATTATTAATTAGGTTATGAATGTAACTCTTACCTTGTGGTTTAAAATTAAAGAGTGGAGGAAGGGGACGATTATTGGGAAGACGGGTAGCTGGGTCCCTCAATTCATCAAAGAAGGGGTGGACACATGCTTCCAACTGCAAAAAATGGTAAATTTATAAAAATATTTTAAAAAAAAATAAAATAAAACAATCACCACTTCATTCACCTATACAGCTAAAGTTTCATTTATAAAATTTAAACTCACAGCAGTGCAGCGCAAATTGGGTGAATACTGAAAAAACCTACAAACAAGATCCACTGCTTCAGGAGGTAATCGCTTCTGAAAAACCTGAAAAAAGTAGAAGAAAAATGTTAAATATTTATCAAATAAAGAAATAATTTTAAGGATCCATGTGAAGTATTGGTATAATTAAAGAGTTGTATTAACCAACCTTGTGCCATGGATGAGGCTTAATTTGAGGAAACCTGAACTCAGTGTAGTTTGGATTCATACACTTTATCTCCTCTCTTGTAGGTGTTCCCAAAACCTATATAAACAATTACACAAACTTATATTTTATGTTTTATATATCTCTACAAAATGTAATTTTTTTTATATATATATATATATATGAAACCAAAACTTACCTTGATAATCTCAACCAATTGATCAACACCACTTTCTCCAGGAAACAGAGGCTGCAAACAAAATAAAATTTTTAAAAAATTAAAAAAAAAATTGAAAAGAAAAGTAGAAGAGTACCTGTCCAAGTAGTAGTTCAGCCATGACACAGCCTGTTGACCATATGTCTATGGCTGTTGTATATTCAGTGGCACCAAATATCAGCTCTGGGGCACGATAATATCTTGAACAGATATATGAAACATTAGGCTCTCCTTTCACCTGAAAAAAAATAAAATAATTAATAATACTTAAAAATAGTACATAACTCAAAAAGTACATAACATATTGAGTTACTATGCACTGTTGATAAGACTTACTAGAACTTTAGCACTTCCAAAGTCACAAAGTTTCAGCTGATGTGTGTGTGGATTCACCTGAAAGTAGCAAATAAGATTTAACACAACACAACCAAATAACAATAATTAAAAAAAAAAATAATAAGTGCATAAATCATCAAGACTAATCTTACAAGTAAATTCTGTGGTTTGATGTCACGGTGACATATCCCGATACAATTATGAATATATGCAAGTGCCCTGCATATCTGCACCAAAAAGTATATAAAAGATTCAAAAAAAAAAATTAAAACTGGAGCTACATTTTCATGTCCTATTTGTAAATTGGATCTTTAATCTTTTCATATCTAATCTGAAAATAATTATGTCCCATATATACCATAAATTAGAAACGGTCTAAGCAAAAAATAAAAATAAGACTAAATTAACAAAATTGGTCCCCAAGTATCGCTGATTTTTGCAATTTGGGTCCAAAAGGTTTAATCATGCATATTAAAAAAAACAAAAAAGGGTAATATAGTCATTTTAAGTGGAACACAGACCAAAACATTCAAAAACCTCAGATAATGACCAAAATTGCAAGAGAAAACTTTTTGGGACCAAATTTGCCAAAAATAGTGATACTTAGGGACTAATATTGTACTTTAATTTAGAGTTAATAAAAAAAAAATTGGTCCCCAAGTATAGCCGATTTGTATTTGTAATTTGGTCCCAAAAAGTTTGCTTGTAATTTCGGTCCTAATTTGAGGTTTATGTAACTTTTTTGGTCCATGTTTCAAATAATATGACTATTTTTGGGACCAAAATTGCAAAAACCAACAACACCAAGTGACCAAAAGTAGTCATTTTACTTTGTTCCTGGACCAAAAACATTAGAAAAACCTCAAATAAGGACCAAAATTTCAAAAGAAAACTTATCGGGACCACATTTGCAAAAGCAAAGTAAAATCAGGGACCAAAGATGTAACATAAAGTGAGGTAGCAGTAGCACATGCCTGATAGGTATACAACTTGACATATATCAATGGCATTCGTTGGTTCATCCTAGTGTAATGCCTTGCAGTTCGGCTAACAGTTTCAGGAACAAAATCAAGAACAAGATTGAGGTAAAGCTCCTCTTTTTCAGTGGTTGAAAAGAACGAATGCTTTAATGCCACAACATTTGGATGATCCAACATTTGCATGATTTGTAGCTCCCTGTTCTTGTAACGCTTGTCTTGAAGAACTTTCTTGATTGCCACAATTTCCCCTGTTTCTCTGCATTTAGCCTACACCAATATTACAAAAAATGCATCAACTTATCAGAAACTGAACCAAACCACCATCTTCATAAATGATGTTGAAAGTTGGAAGCCAATAATAGATGAGGGTAGATTTGTAAAATGCTAAGACTTAATGGGACAATTTGTGTTAAAAGGAAACACCCATATATTGTTTCTTTTTCACTTAATGAGCTTGATAGGTTAAGCACTTAATCTGGATAGCTATATATGATTGTTTCTGTTTTACTTGATCTGAACAGAATGACTTAATGGGTTAAGCCAAAAACCTTGCTTAACGTATTAACACACCAACCCTTTTCACCTATTTGCCTCTCTTATCTTTTTTTTTCACCTAACTGATCTCACGTGAATATAGATGAATATAGTGAAACTATTTGTTACAATGCAAGGGTAAAATAATTATTTAGTTTCATTCAGATGGTTTATTCATTCTAGAAAAGAAACAAACAGACCTTATCACCTTATGTAAACACCATTTTATTCAAACAGACATCATTACCCATTCAGCCACTTTACTCATACATGACTCAATGAGGAAAAAAAGAAACAACTCCTATGTCTTCTCATTAAGCCCATTAAGACAAAAACGAAACAACTGAGCCATACTTACTTGAAAAACAACACCAAAAGAGCCAGTCCCAATCACATGCTCTGCTATGTAGCTCACAGTCTGTCATAAAAAGAAAAAAAAAAAAAAAAAAAGGATATTTTAGCATATATAACATATTTTCATGAGAATCCATGTAAATATTACAAGTTTAAAACTTATTACTTCTCACCTGTTCAGGTTGACCATTACGCCCTCCAGTTGTTGTTCTTATCACATGTCCAGCTTCTGTACCCGCCCCATGTATCATCACTGGTTCACTATCCTGGAATATTAAATTCAATTTTCAATAAAATAATTCAACTCATCACTAATTATAGACCCCATTTGTTACAAACAAACAACTACTGTGTTTGGCATGCATAGGACTAAGACAAAGATAAATGGGACAAAAGTAGAATTATTTGTCCAACTCAAAAGACACAAATGCCCTCATCATAGAAAATATCCCAAGAGAAAGTACTTACACTGACTTTGTCATCATCACGTTCCACCTTGTCTCTAATACGCATTTCAAGCATTCCCCTCCCCAATCGATCAACTGCAGCACTAGACGATTCATTAAAGCCACTAACTGTTCTTGAACTCCCAACTCCCCCATGTCCTAGGCTAGCAGAGGCCATCTTCTAGTTCTTTTCTTATGCCAAATGATGCCTAAAACTTTCTAATAATTGTTACCCTTCACAAACACTTTTGTGTCCCTCAAGATTATTCCACTCACAAACATGTGCTCCTGACAAAACATAACAAACCACAGATTAAAATAGTAAGTTTCTCGCATAATCTTTGATGTAAATGAAACAATGTATGTGACGAAATTGATTACAAATGCAGCATAAATGGTAAGCTAGATGTTATGATCACCTAACAATAGCAAGAGAAACTTCTGATGCATGCATCAAATCTAGATTAGTCAAGCATAAATAAACAAATGAAAGGAAATATTCAAAACACTTATTCTATTGCTTTTTGAGAATTCTAGATAATAATAATAATAATAACAAAAGAAATCAGGCCGTCCTTGTTCCAACCAATCATTTAATAGTTTGAATTGGTTTTGGAAAGGGATTATGTAATAGTGAATCAAAATAAATTAATTAGCTAAGTAAGAGAGAGTTCTTGGATTTGGAGTTGGAGTTGCAAATAACATCAACCTGAAATAGTTAATAGAATCAGGCAAAATAATGAAAGTGTTTATTTGATGGCTAAATGCCAAATACAGAACTGATTATTGTCGTTTTATGTAATCGCTCTAAAAATTACATCCAAACATCCCATGTAAAAGGGAATCATAAATCAATTATTCGTCAGAAATAGCTTGATGGCGTATGAACCACAAAAATAGTATAATTCACCATCAGTCAGATCCAAGTACAATCTAATCGAAATTAATCTACAAAAAAGCATAATAAATCTGAATTTTAAACGATCAGTCATTCTTCAACCCATCATGTAGTGGATCGGAGATGATTTCGATCATCCAGGAGCTAATCGGTGTAAAAAGCAAAGTTAAATCACTCACCGTGCCGAATTTCGCAGAGAATTGGGAGCAGGTATTGTGCATTTCACTGTAGTTTGTTGAAATAGACGAGTGACAGTTTCTTGATCCGATTGCTTTATCGTTTTGGGTGTTGGGGGGGTTTTCTTCTTTATTTTACCATTATCTGTAATTGGGTTTTCTCTCTCCACCAGTTTACTGCGTCTTCTTGAGAGATAGCGAGAGGGTTTTTTGGAATTTTGATCTTTTGGGTGTGGGATACTATCACAAACTTGCAACTGAGAGATGATAAAAGTCTTTTGCGTTTCTTTGTTTGCTGACAAGTAGGGTGTCAGATCTTTGTTTTCATTTCACTCTTTCATTAAATAAACGGGATAATAAACTCATAAATTACCATATTTTTTAATTTAGTTTATTATTTTTCTATAGTCTATACTAGTATTAAATAAGGATATTCGATTTCTCGTTAAATTATATTATACAATCATTTTGTTAAACCATTATATATATATATATATATATATATATATATATATATATATATATATATATATATATATATATATATATATATATATATATATATATATATATCAATTAAATGCAACTGGTATTCGTACACATTTGAAATACATTATTAATTTTTAATAAATGTTTTACATTGGTTGATAATATTATTGGTTTTTGAATAATTGATATGTACGTGTACGTTATATATTAATTGAAACGTTACGTGTTATTTAAACAAACGAGAGTGAAAAACTAATACATTGTTTCTTATATTATTATTATTTTTTAAGTAGTGTTACATATTTCAACAAAAAAAATCTCGTATATTTTGATAAATGCATTAATCATATTATTTTCATTGGTTGTAACAAGTTTAACTAAATAGTTAATTCAACTGTGAGGTCATTCATGATGGTCTTTCCAACTACTACATTCTTCTACATCTACATCACCACCACAAAGAGAAAACTCATGGTCAAATGTTGTGACCACAACCACAGAGGGTTGGGATAGTATGTACAGCCGTTGGTTGTGGCCACGGCGAACCTCGTGTTCAGTATACCAGAAAGTCTGAGATAGAAAGAAAAAAGCAAAACGCAAAAATTAAAATATATTTCTAATAAAAAAAATTAATCATATCGTTATGTCGTATTCGATGCTATATTATGTGAAGTAATGAAACCTCATGTATAAGTTAATATTTCACTAAATCGGTCAATATCACAATAAATTTGATTATTTGTATTAAAAAAAAAAAAAAAAAAAAAAAAAAAAAAAGTAAATCCGATGTAAGCAATGCATATTGTCCCAAATTTTTGTTGCGTACTCTAGGAACATAAATGAATATTGGCCTTTAAGTTTCGTTAATAATCAAGATCTCCAAAAATAATGTTGCATGCTTTCATCTTTAAAATTGGTGCCTATGACAAGTTAAAGGGATGCTTGGATTGTTTATCTAAAATAATTTATGTTTTTCTTAAAACGCTTATAAAACTTTGGTTGAATTAAAGTTATTTTTTTTTTAATATTTTGATTAGTTTGTGTAGGTGTTGTATGTTTTTTTATCTCGAGATTTTCTTGGTCTTTTTTGTTCTTATCGTGCACACCACAAACATACATTATGTTTCGCAAATTGTTTGTTTTTTTAAGAGTGCAGATCTGAACTAGAGACTTCAAATATCTTTAGATATTTTCTAACCTAAAAAAAACATATATTTTTGTATGTTTTTTTTTTTTAAAACTTAGATTTATTCTAACATTATCTATGATAAACAATTTGAAAAAAAAAGTTACAATATTTAAAGAAATAATGTTCGATGACACAATCATGATATTTCTGACAAATTTATAAATAAATATTTAATTACAATAATGATCCTTAGAGTTGTTTATATAGATATTAAAATAAAATCCTAATATTGTTATATTTGTTTGTACTGAATTTTATAAAATACTATTTAATGTAGTATCATTCATTTTTTTGGAAAAATATTTATGCCTAATTTTAATTGATTTAATTGAAAAAGCAAAATAAAAATTTTCATTTTGAATCAAAGTTTATTTCCATCCATTTATGTGTTAAATTCTTTTATTCCTAATTACAATGTTTCAGTGTAATTTTGCGACCAAAGTTTGTTGGTTTTTATCAAATATATACATTACTTTATACCATTTTATTTTCACTTATTATACAATAATATATAAAAGTTAATCTACATTTGTTAATTATTTATAATAAAGTCAAAAATTATTGAAACAGTCATTTAATTTTTTTAAATTAGTTTAATTAGATTTTAGTTTATTCTAGCAGCTACCAAATATTAAAAAACAAACAATCTTCTTCTTTCAAACTGCAAACATTTGATCTCACTCTTCTACTACAGAGGTCTACAAATGCGGTCCATAGATTGCAGACATTGTCTCAGAAAAAATAAACATCACCTACAATCACGAGTAAGAAAAATGGCCCCAATCGTTATTATGAGTTTTGAGGTGAGTCTTCTCACTATACTTACCATATGTGGTATCTTTGTGTGAACGAGATGTCTTATGTGCTTATCTGTATATCATGATATTCTGCATTATGTCTTTGTGATTTATGTTGAGTATTATTATTATTAGCTTCCTGAGTTAGGACCGGAGGGTCCACCCGAGTTATGGGACCAGAGGGTCCCACTAAGGCACATTGACCGGAGGGTCTTATCTGAGTATATCTATGAGAGGCTACTGAGATTTGTATGATATTTTGGGGAACTCACTAAGCTTCGTTCTTACCGTGTTGTGTGTTATGTGTTTCAGGTACTTTTCGTGATATCGGGAAGGCGTCGACTCGATTGTACACATGAGAGAAAGAGTTATGTTTAGAGGATCCTGGTTTTGTGATAAACAATCTTAAATAAAAATATGTTGAAATTTTGTTACTAGTGATTTTGAGGAAAAGTGACATATGTTTATTGTGTTTAGAAATGAAAAATTAGTTTTAAATTTTACGGTGTTACAAGTTGGTATCAGAGCCTGGTTTAAGAGATTCAGATGCACCTCGGGTGTGTCTGGACTCAAACTAAGGATTTGAGAAAAAATTTCAAAAGAAAAGATTTTCTGAAACGAGTAAGAGTTCTAAGAGAAAAACGAGAAGAAGCAGTGTGTACAATCAGCGAGAGCCTGAACGGTGATTTCCCAAAACAACCTTACTTCTTTATTTGTGTTATGAGTTATTATTGAGATATTAGTGATGCATACTAGAAGATAGGCTAGGTATTTCATATATTAGGGCTAGAGTTTTCTGATTGTGATGCCTTAGCCTAGGGATTCTCGTTATCTGTTATGTGCCTTGAGTATGTGTTGAGTAAGAGTATCTAGCAGGAATCACACTCTATCACATTTGGAGGTGCCAGTTAGAATCCCTAGGCCCTCTTCTAACGAGTTTCAATGGAGCATACCGTGAGAAGGAATCACACTCTATCACATTTGGAGGTGCCAGTTAGAATCCCTAGGCCCTCTTCTAACGAGTATCTAGCAGGAATCACACTCTATCACACTCTGGCACCTCCAAATGTGATAGAGTTAGAATCCCTAGGCCCTCTTCTAACTGGCACCTCCAAGTGTGATAGAGTGTATCTAGCAGCAAATGTGATAGAGTGTGGGGACAGAGGGCCAAGTCGAACGAGTTTCAATGGAGCATACCGTGAGAAGGAAATCAGGTTAGTTTCCGAGAGATTTTTGGAGGTGCCAGTTAGAATTGCAAGACTTAGGGATGAGTAGAGTTGATGCTTATTAGAAGATTGTGGTTTGAGTTGAGCAAACGACCGATAGACGAGACATCACCTTCTGTGACAAAAGTTGTGTTGTCCTTGTTTTGGGGTAGAAGAAAAAGAGATAGCGAGTTCCCGTTTCAGATTTTGGAGGCAATCTTTGTGGGGGTAGCATAGGGTTGCAACCTTTCTGCCAGAGTATTAGGGCAGTATGTTGTTGCAAGGTATTTCTTATGTCATGAGAGAGTCGTTAGTGAGATTGAGATGGGAGAGACTAGAAAGGTGCCTTTTGTGTGAGACATGTTTTTTGGCAGCATTTCCAGGTGATCAAGAGGAGTACATCGGGGCGGTGGCCCTCGTTGTCTACGTTATGTATCGACTGTGAGAGTAAGGTCTCTTGCTTTTATATTTTCCCACGATGGGAGGTTCATCTAGGAATCAGAGATGAGGTGTGTGATAGTACATTCTTTCTAGATTGAGAGTTAGGACTGTTTCGGAGCAGTTAGGGTATCCAACGGTGTGTCGGTCTGAAGCATTCAAGATGACTAGAGGCAATCACGTTGGGAGGATTCTGAGGTTTTGTTTGAGATACATTATATTTGGAGTTGCTTGGCTTCCATCGGGAAGATCATTGAATGATTGTGTGGTCCGTTTCAAGAGTCGAGTGTGATGTACCTGGTGAAACAGTCTATGAAGTAGATTGTTGGTATGCCTAGGGTGATGGTTCGAACCCTAAGTGGGGGGGGGGGATCCAGGTATTTTATTGAAGGGATCAGAGATTTGTTCAAGGGCAGTTAAAGAACTGGATATAAAGACATGCGGTACAAAGACATGAGACAAGGGTTTATTGGTGGTCGAGGCGAGGTGCAGAGCGAGATAATGCATGTGATACGTGTTCAATAAAGGACAAGTGTCTCTACGGCAGGTGGCCGTTGGTACGAGACCTTGTGGTGGTTAGGAATTATTCAATGTTGTAATGGTAAATTCGAGGTGGTTGGCTCGAAGGGATAGTTTCGACGGTTGAGAACTTCGGGCTTAACGTATGGGTTGTTATATGCACCTTGGGAAAGGGCAGAAGTTGATTGGGCAACCAACTTCAGGGTTGGTATGAGTATTCTTGCATGGGTTTTGAGAAATATAGGAGGGAGTCTCATATTGTCGTCAAATGTTCTGGGTCATTGACGATTTCCTCCGTATTTCAAATTGAGAGTTGGAATATTTTGAAGTTACGAGCTGTACGAGAAGAAGATCTGTTGGGAGGTTCTGAAAGGATGCATTACGGTATCTGAGTATGGTGTCGTAGGTAGGAGGTCAGTGGTTGAGGCAAGACATCGTGAGATTCTATGATGGTGTACCGAGGTATTCGAGTATGATTCCCTAAATTTCGGATCATTCTAAGACTTGAGTTATGGGATGGCAATAGGAGCATCAAGTGACTATGGTTTCAACGGGAGCCCTTCAGCTATTATGATCAAACGGGAGTATCCAAGAGTGTAAATTTCAGTGGGAAAAGTGTTTGGTTGCGACTGTTATCGTCAGGAGTAGTGATGCTTAACTCGGGTGGGTGTGTATACCTATCTATGTTGGATCGTGGAGTATTCAGTAGTGAA